TTACCCGCGAACCAATGAGTCAAATTTAAGAAACAACCCACTGTTAGAAAGCTGAATGGCTACGCTTTAAAATGAATGTAAACTTTAAAGTTTTCGTCTATTATTTGTTTAGCAATTTACATTTTAGTCGAGGATTGCGCTTTTTTGATACACCCTGTACACTCGGGCCCCGATTACACTATACCGGATTGCATCGGAGAGACGCGATTTCTGTACCGGATTAGGCTCTTGTTTACACTACGCCACTAAAATCCAGTACGTGCCGCTTTGGAGGTGATATGAAAAGTAATCCAGTATGTGCCGAAGCAGTGTAAGCAGGCCAATCCGGTACGCTTCGGTACAAAATCGGTTTTGGCGTGTACGTTTTACCATTGTTGCCTCTATTTGCTCGCTTTTACAATATTTTAGAGCTGTCGTTTGTTTCGCCTTACAACCATTTACTGTCTCTGGCCAAGACAAATAAAGAGAACGATTAGATAATAACATTGACTTTTCGCTTTCGATAGGGCAAAATTTAATGAAATACTCGTCAATATTGGATTAGAGCGAAACGAAGCAACGTCTGGTAGTCAAGCTTTTTAAACAAACTTATTCTTCACAAAGAAAACGTGTGTTACTTCCTGTTTTTAATAAATTTTAGTGTACTGGCCAAAAATATTACTTGTTTCCATGGCGACAGCGAGGCACGAGCTGGCAACAGAGCGAAGCGGCATGCATAGTGTAAACACACTTGTTTTTTACTTCGGAGTGAAAATCAATCCGGTATAGTGTAATTCTAGCCTCAGAGTAACATCACAAACGTCATTATTCACCTGAGTAAACAACACCAACACAGAAAAAATCATATTACTGGATTACATTGGTAACGAAGGAACTAGATTCTGTTCCGAAATATCACTTACTCGAACCGACCTGACCGCGTAGCTCAGTTGGCAGAGCATTGGGCTAGTATTCCAAAGGTCGTAGGTTCGATTCCCACCGTGGCCAGGCATATTTTTCAAGCTCGCCCAGTGTGGATATACACTCAGAGTAACATTACAAACATCATATTCACCTGAGTACACAGCACCAACACAGAAAATATCATTATTACTAGATTACATTGATATCGAAGGAACTAGATTCTGTTCCGAAATATCACTTACTCGAACCGACCTAACCGCGTAGCTCAGTTGGCAGAGCATTGGGCTAGTATTCCAAAGGTCGTAGGTTCGATTCCCACCGTGGCCGGGCATATTTTTCAAGCTCGCCCGGTGTGGATATACACTCAGAGTAACATCACAAATATCTATATTTTGTCTTGGTTTATGCAAGAAATGATCGGTTCATTGCGCTAGAGCAACCAATATCTATGTTTTCATTTAACCATTGTACAATTGATCATCAGGACTGGGTAATTAAACCAACACAATGCTATTGGTTGGTTGGGCGAAAAACAATACACACCTGACTATGAACCAATGATTTGTCTTCTATAAACCAAGACAAAAACATAGATAATCAGGTCTCTTATGTCTGCATCGAGTTTCATAACCTTCATTTTCTATTGACTATGTCCCGACGAAGGGCCTTCGCTCGAAATGTCTGCTTTATATTTATGACCTTCCGATCTACTGTTTTTATATTTTAAAAATTATATACCTTGTAAACTTTCTGTATAAGCATGATAGCAGCGCGTTTCTCCAAGAACCGTTTTCGAGCGAGGTAACCAATAATACATCTTTTGATGACTTTAGCAACTTCTCTTAATTCTTTGTCTCGTCTTTTGTCCAGCAAAATCTCCAGCTCGTCCTTCAAGAACATCTGTAAAAAGTGAGGAAAAGTATTTTACCAGATGGGAACAACACCTTACACTTGATGGCATTACCTGATTTGAGATGCTGAAAGTGGTTTTATTTGTTAAAAATACGAAAAGTAAATCATTGGTAAAAACACAAAAGGACAAACCAGAATTTTCAAAGTTGATGTGTTTTCGAATCAAAAGTATATGTTTAGCAATGTAATCCATTTTTATGCTTATTGCAGACACGGCTAAATAAGAATCTTTCTCTAATCACCTCATAAAAAAACCCGTCTATAATTGAAAAATAATGAAACCCCTTTTGTATTTGTTTGCTTGTTTGTTTGTTTGTTTGTTTGTTTGTTTGTTTGTTTGTTTGTTTGTTTGTTTGTTTGTTTTGTTTATTTGTTTCGGTTTGACTGGTTAATTTGAGCCGCACTTTGGATTATAGGTTTTCAATTAACCAGTGTTCATACAGGATAAGACGTATGTTACACTCCTAAGTAGGGAAGATCCTGGTTTAGCTTTTGTAGTGCGAATCTGGCCTGCCAATAATGTACATGGAAATTACATGTGATAAGGTATACAGAAAATACATTTAAGAAAAACAGCGTTAATAATAAACATTCGGAGAAAATACTATCAAATTTCTCGCAAATATAACTTTCATAAAAGTCAGGATTTTTCATTTTGTTAACGAACACATACACTGTAGAAAAGAATTTAAACAGTAAATTAAGCAATCAAGAAAAGAACAGATAATATTGAAGCGCTAAAAACCTGATCGAAACACTTGAAATGGCTATATTTTAAATTAAAGAGCACTGTACTGGTGAGCAATTTCATAAAAATCTCAAAACAGAAATTATAGTGCTGTCTCACCTTTGTCTTTCCTAGTTTCCACTTCTTTCTGGTTGGATCAATTTCGTCCAGCAAGAGAGAACCATCTTGCTCTGGATTACCACTGATTGGTTTTCCTCTCATTAATACTTTGTAACTGAAGAAAATTATTAAAAAAGGACCACTTTAACAAATCACAAAATGCCTGGAATACAAATCTTGCATGGTATCTTCAAAATGTTCACTTGTCGTCTTGAAATGTCAACTTGACAATGTAATATAGTGATTGACGAGTACTCCGGCACCATCAAAGTCTTATGGCTAAGTATTATACTGGCAGTATACGTCATCCCAACATGTCACTTACCTAAAAGCGAAGTCAGCGTACAGAATACGAACAGGAAATCCAGCTCGTCTTATTCTTACTGTTTCCAACATACCCGAATACCTCAACTGATCGAGAACCAGTTTTGGATCAAATTTATCAGGAAGCTTAAAAGAATGGCATTAATCAACAATCTATAGGGACAGTGTAGCTTTTTCAATGATCCTTTTTAATTTAATGTAATTTGAGAATATGTACAGTACTACATACAATTTTGAAAAAATCGTACTCATTAACTTTTCAGAACTAGCTTTACAGAATCTAAGCGAGACATGCAGGAAACAGAGATCCTACTAAAGCAGCTCTATAACCGGTTCTCTTATTGTTAAGATCATTTATATTGTTAAAGAGTTTTAGTTGTGAAATGTAGTTGTTTTGTGAATGTTGTTTATTTTTCAGTGGCGAACTTACAGTAGCATGGCAATTAGTCTACCCTGATAGCAGAGCCTGATTTCTCCTCGCGTAGAAAATAAGGCTCTGCCGTTTTTGTGTTTTTGTTCGTCCAAAATTCTGGACGAAGTAAACCGGTAATAAACCAGTTCTAACCGGTTTTAAATGCGCGCGCCTTCGTTTTGCATGTAAACCGATGACTACAATTTGAGCACGCTATAGATTTACAAAATTTAAAACTTTATACTTTATAACCGAAATTTGGCTGACAATAACTTAAATATACTGAAAAGTAACGTAGGATAAAATAAACTGGCAAGTTAGCAATTGTAAAAATATAGTAATAGTTTGATTTCACAACTGACAAGTGACAAAGTCATCGATTTGAAAATGTTTTTGTATTATTTGTATTGTCGTAATTGTACAGCATGTGCAGTTGCACGCGCCCAGCATGTAGGGATAACTGCATGCGATTGGTTCTCTAAATTTAGCAGTCATTCTAAAAATACAAGTGATCTTTGACATGTTTTGGCATAATATTGGAAACAGAGCATGCTCAACAGAAATTAAACACAAAAACAGCAGAGCCTTATTTTCTACGCGAGGGGAGATCAAGCTCTGCTCTCAGGGTACAATTTGTCATGCTATGCTAATAAATCTGCATTTAAATAGGTTAATTATATCACGATTATCGTGATATAATGCAATGCAAATCATTACGAATTTTCATACAGCATGACCTGTTGCTATGTTTCACAAAATTTAATCTCTCTCTATACTGCCACGGAAAATCGTTTCTTTTGTTTTCCCTCGAATCTCAATGTTCCCCCACCCACCTCGTCACGGTAAGCGTTCAAACTCTAGGGAAAACAACATACTTTCCTTCAGGAGCAGAAATTAAGTGTATATTGTATACAATTGAAAAATTACCTAATTCGTATTGGAAAATTGAAACTGTGACCTTTGTTTTTATGGCATGTATCGCGATATTATCGAATATCGTCATAATTTCCAAGACGATAATCGTGATATAATTTTTTTAAATATCGGCCAACCCTAGCACTGTGAATAATGATCATATCGAGACGGGTATATTCACCTATATATCTTATCCTATATATAATACACCATACACCACAAACAAACCTTGGATCCATTGGGTTTGATACATCTCACAAAATAAGGATGAGCTTGACTCAGAGTTGTCATCAATGATGTCAGTGAAGTCTGAATGACGACAAAAAATTAAAGTAAATATAATTGTCAAAAATGTAAATCTATGTGTGCATGACATTCCTATCCATGTCGGAAACTGCATGACCTTATTATTATTTAGCACAAACTCAATTACAGTAAATTTTTTATTAATTAGGGATATTTCATTACAAACGAATATAGACAATTATGATTGGCATAATAATCAGGTGTTCAGTGCAGCATGACAATAACACACAAATTATGTGGGCTTGTTTCTTGTGTTGTGCTATACACTCGGTGAGACACGGTAATTTATATATCGAAACGATTGTGAAAAAGTGACCTTAATTGTTATCGTTAATTGTACTTTTATTTTTGGACGTGTGGGACTTCTGAAAGGTTTGAACTCCATTTCCCCACATTACTGGCACCTCCGACGGGATTGTTTGATGAATATTTTGCGACTACTGAATGCGACTAATAAACGATGTCCTTAAAGAACCATAGTGGGGTTTCTCCGGGCGCTCCGGTTTCCTCCAACAGGGAAAATTGACAAGGTTGGTACGTATAGTCCAGGTTACGTATAGTAACATAAGTCAGCGCAATACTTGATGTAATCGGTTACTAAAAAGCCCCAATGGAGACTGAGATGACAAATGTATGTATGTATATGCATGAATACAATAAATTCTATTATATTGCAAATCAAACACTAGTTAACTCAAAAACAAAACGCCCAAAACACAGAACAGTTGACTTACCCGGAACTGAGAACTAACAGTTGGTCTCCTTTTGGCTGATTTACTATTAGCTCCAGGTGTTGGTTTCATATTTTCAACCAAGTCGTACACAAAGTCGGACCTGAAAAACAACAATTGTATAGCAGAAATAAGAGCACAATCTTTCCAAGCGCGCACGTTCGGGAGGGGTGGAAATTATGTATTAAGGTTACATCACACAATGGACACTGAATTGTGCAACTACACTCTTAATTAAATGTCATTTCAGCAAATTTTCAGGGAAGAAAGCCAGAAAAATGCTAATTACGAAAAAAACACGTTTGGTGGGCGGTTAATTAAAACCTTTTTTTCTTCTGCCTGACCCGAAATACGGATTTCCCGCGAAATTTACGTACAAAATTGCGATTTTGAAACTCAGTTTTAAATCAATTACTGATGAATCTCCACATGTTGATACAACATTGGTTGTGTTACAATTTATTCCATGTTGATCGGTAGCTGCACTTTTCTGATTATTCATTAGTGATTTTAACTGGAATCAAGAATGAAAAAAAAACCAAGGCACATCAAAAGAACCATTAAAAAAGAGAAAGCGACAGCACACGTTTTTGTTAGTTTCCTTATGAAGATCCAAATTGCAACATCTAAAAAAAGTTTTTCTTGTTTTTATGGAATACCCGTACATGTATTTCTGTTTAGTCGGGCAGAACAAGAAAAGTTTTAGTTTAGCAGCAATTTTCCAGCTTTCTTCACTGAAAATGTTGTAGAGCATATAGTGGAACAAACCTGCTGTTTTGGAGAATAGTCAACAGATCGTCTCTGAAAGTGTCCCTGCAAAAAACCCACACACAAAACATGTTTAGTAAAAAACTAAAAAGCCAGTTAGCTTAATCCTAGGTAAACGAAATACTTCAAAGCAAACTACCCAACAGCTTGTTTACTGTATATGGGTGCAGCAACAACAGCTTGTTTATTTTGTTTTTACTCATCCTTCGGACTCGTGCTATTTTGAGGTCTTTGAAAAACTCACTCGTACATGTTATATCCAAATTGCACTCGAAACCATGCTATTACCTATACAAACATGGAGATTTGAAAAGTAGACAATTTTGAAACGGCTCTCAATTTCACAAATCCGTTCATTTCATTATTTTTTTTATAAATGTAGGTTGTTTGGGCACTTATATAATGTAGAATAAACAAACATTTTTGGTAAAGATAAATATTCCAGAGCAGGAG